CTAGATACCTCTTTTTCTTTGGACTTAAATTATAACAAGCCTCTTTATGATAATGGTCGGGTGAAGGTGGTTCATCCTATAGACGTGGCAGTTTCAAGCTGTGAAATGTGGATGACGACCTTGGTCGGCTCCTTTGTTGGTAAGAAGTTAGCTTTTCCAGTTGAACTTCGTTGCTCATAAATTGTGGGATAGGTTTGGCCTTAAGGAGGTTCTATCCTCAGATGCTGGTTTTTATTTTTTCAAGTTCGATTCTCTTCGCCAAGCTCTTTTAGTTCTTGAAAGAGCGTCTTGGCATATGGCTTCTAGGCCATTTATTCTGAAGCGTTTGCAACCTGATATGACTCTGGCCAAGGAGAATCTACGTTGTATTCCTATTTGGGTGAAGCTTTATAATATCCCATTTGAGTACTGGACAGCGTAAGTCATGTAGCTAGTGCCGTGGGACATCCCTTCCATGCAGATGCGATCACTCTGACACGTAAACGTCTTAGCTTTGCACGTGTTTGTGTAGAGATAAATACTTTGGAGGAGTTAGTAGAGGATTTTAATTTTCGCTGTGCGAATGGGGATTGGATATCTATTCGTACCGAATTTGAATAGGTCCCCATTAAATGTCGGGAATGTGGGGGGTATTTGGCCACTCTTGCTCGTCTCAAACTAAGCCTAGTGAGAGTAAGCATCATGAAAAACTTGCCAAGGTTTGGGTTGCTAAGGATAAGGCTGGCCCGAGTGGTGTAGCTAATGAGAAACCACCTATCGATGATGATTGGACCTATGTCTTACGTACGAAGAAGTCTAAAGGTGGTGTTGTTGACTCTGGTGTTGTTGTTCCTATTAAAGAAGACGGCATTCATACTTTAGCTGATAATTCTAAGGAGGTTCAGGGAGAGGTTGATCAACAATCTTTGCCATTCTGAACGAAAATGATAGTGATTCTTCTGCTCATCATTCTAACATGTTGGGAACAAAAGCTATAAATTCACTTCAGAAGAAGAATGGGCCGGGGGGAAAGCATAAGAAGGACAAGAAGCATCGCTCCCTTGGGGGAGGCAGATGACGATAGGCTTACTGAGGTTGTGGTTCTCTCCTTGACTTTATTTATGTTTTTTGGATGTTGGAATGTCGAGGGCTAAATGACCCCCTTAAACAATCTGAAGTAAAGAGCCACATTTCTTCCTCTAGGTTTTCTTTGTGCTGGTTGGTGGAAACTAACGTTAAAGAGATAAATAAAAACAAGGTGACTAGTGCCATCTTCCAGTCATGGAGTGTCCTTACCAATTATAATTGTTCTCCGCTTGGTAGGATTTGGGTATGTTGGAATCCAAATGATGTGGATATTTTGCTTGTAGGTTGCTCAGCACAAGCTATCCATTCTCGTGTCAATGCATGTAATGGTAAATGGAGTTGTATAGTGTCAGTGGTATATGGAGATAATATCCTAGTTAAGCGTGTTGATCTATGGGTTTATTTAGTAGCTAGGCATAGAGGGTTGATAATATCACATTAGTGCCACATAAACTGTTATTTTATTACAAGTGACGCTATTAGAATTACTATAAAAGAATTTACTTGCGCCACATGAGTAGATAACTACAACCCCAAGAAGAAAAATTTAACAATAATGTTCACTTCGATCACCACAAGTGTATATTATCGTATCAGATAATAAAATGATAAATAGATCTTTTGCACGGAAATTGTGTTATCCTGTATCAATGGAAACTAATCCTAACTTATATTTAAACGAAAAACTACTGAAAGCAATTAAAATGTGGTCACAATCTCCCCATAAGAAATTTGATGAAATCAAAGTGTTAGGACGTTGAAGTCATTATTTTTTTCAATTTGTCTCCATATATCATGTTAAGACAATATTTCAATCATGTCACTGATGAGATTTCATAAAATAAACTAATAATATATATCTTGAATATAATCAATACTATCTAAACATGCAAATTCACTAGTTCTTTTCACCAATTAGTGGTCCGATCATACATAAAAACTAGAGATATGAAAAAAAAAAAAAAAAAATTCCAAAATTAACTAATAATATATCTTGAATATAATCAATACTATCTAAACATGCAAATTCACTAGTTGTTTTAACCAGTTAGCGGTCAAATCATATGTAAAAATTAGAGATATAAAAAAAAAAAAAAAGAAAAAATTATTGGCCATTTCATATTGAAAACTAGCCAACTCAACCATAAATCGGCCTATTCATCTCAATATTTAAATATTTTTAATATTCTTTTATTACCAATTCGATGTTGATTCAACTCAAGTTCGACTCTTTAACCATTAACCCATTATCTTTTTCGGGATTAGTTTTCAAACTATTGTTATGATAGGCAATGCTAAAGGGCATCAATCTTATAAACAAATTATTTAAAATTACCTCTCTTGCAATTATTTATTTTGAAGATATTTTTTTGTCACTTCATTTGTGCATAATCTACAATATATTAAAATGGAGGATTGAGGAAAAAATTTGAATACCTAATTTACCCTTATATATTTAGCTATATACCTAATGTACCCTTATTTAATTTTAGTTTTGTTAATAATTAATTAATAATATTAATTCCTTACATATTTATCTACATTTCTAATGTACCCTTATTTAATTTGTTAATAATTAATTAACAGCACTAATTCAATTTATTCAACGTGAAATTAAAAAAAAAAATCATTTTATTTTTCATTTTTCAATAATTACCTAAATTAATTTTTTAAATATTATATTATTTTCTTATTAACAACTTTTATTATAAAAATATAACTTAAGTTTCTTCCATCGCTTGAATTAGCCAGTTTAAAAAAAATAACATTCATGTTCTCATATTTAAATGGCCGTTTTATACATATCCTAATAACTAAATAATATATTTAATATAACAAAATTAATGCGTATGTTACTATATAATTTGATAAAATTTTATTTTATGTTATATTTACTTTTATTTAAAAGTTGTTTTAATTAGTAGTTATATACGAAGTTCCGTAATATCTAAGTTTAGATAAAAATGAAATACCAAATAACACAGCGTTATAACTGTAATATACATTTATAATCTTTACTCATTTTCACACTTAAATCCTCAATTATTTTTCATTATATTTTTTTTATCATTATATAACACTAAATAAATTATTATAACATTTAATACGTATTGAAATTCTAAATCATTCCACACAACATTAAGAGATTAAAAATTTCAATATACAGAGAGAACGTAGAGATTGCTATTTTTATAATTAATGATTGATGTAAATAAATGAGAGAGGAGATGCAGGGCTGCTTTATGTTAGTACATAAACTATGTAATAAATAAAATTAAGATTGTTATAGCTATAAAAATCAACATTTCTCATTCTAGAACTATTGTTAATGAAAGCAAGTTGTTGTTGGCTAGAGCTTCTCAAAAATCGAAAATAGTCTAGATGATGTTTATATATGTGAATGTATTCATGTTAAGCATTGAAATTTTGGAGAAGTCGATTTGCATGAGACAAGTAAAAAAAAAAGGTTGTTTTGAGTTTTAACGGAATTTTTTATTATGCTAAAAAGATATTATAGTTTTTTTTCTTTCTCTCTATTTTTAAAAAATTTTTTTTTCCGTAATGTCCATCTAAATGACGAACATAAACTACTATTAAGTTAATGGGTTTTTTTTTTTTAAAAAAAAAGTTACGATTAATAAGCTTGGTTCGTATTTCAATTTAATTTCTAATATCATAAATTTAATTGCATGAAATTTCTATTTTAGATTTATCTATTATCACACATTATTTTAATTGTATATATACATCTGTTTGGGAGCGTCCTAAGTATGTGACAACTCGATAGTATTATTGTCCCATCATATTCATACAAATATGTGATTTTTTTATTCATATTTATGAATTTCTTGAGCCATCTTTAGCTGGACATCTATACGTTTGACGATTTATATTTTTAATATTTCTAATTTTATTTTTTTATTTATTAAACTATGATTTAATAATTACTTTTAGGAGAGATAAGGGAACAAAAGCCACTTTGTATTGATCTTTGACTGATTTTTATATTAAATAAAATCATTTGAGCATTTTTTTTCATATTTACTCAATTTTTGGCATTAGTCAAATTTTAAAGTATTCATTATAATTAACATATGTCGCTACATCATAATTAGTATTTGAGCACAATCACATTCTTGATAAAGACGTGTTATGTTATATTATATTTGTATGATATGTCACATATTTGCTATATGATTTTTTCTAATGTTGATAAATAAATTATTAAACTAACATATCGATGATTTTTTTATTTTGTATGCTAGAAACATTATAGACGAATATATCATCGTCGAAAACACTATCAGAAACGATGTTTAATTTATCAATACATCAACAAAATGAGTCAAGTTGTAGTTTAATTTGAAAAATATTAACTTTTTTTTTTTTTTCAGTTTTGTTAGTTGTTAACGTATATTTTTGTTGTCATATCTTAAATTTGTCTTCATACTTGTAGGATTGATATAACCAAACAAATATTGCGATTATATCTTTATAAGACAATTGAATACATTTGAAGTGGATTATGAAAGTATTCATACTTCGAAAAGGTTTCATTGAGATCTATAACAATAAGAACGGTTCCATTGAAGTTTATTTTGTGTGATGAGAAAGTATTATATAATGTCAGAATTAGTCAATTTTTTTTTTACGGAAGTTCCACTATTACACTAATATGTTATTTTTTATAATGTTTTAAAGTAATTTAAGCTACGTTGTTTAAGGACACAATCAAAAAGTTCTTTCCCATGCTTGAAAAAGAAAAAATATAACACACATACACACAAATATTGCACATATCATTCATTCGACCGGCTTATTACTAGTTAAGCAAGAAAGGACAACATACATTACTTAGATCGTATATACGGAACAACAAACAAAACTAAGAGGAAAAAAAGGCCCCACCCTTAGAGAATCCACAGAAATTTACATTAAACTTCAATCTCCTTGGGAAAATTCTGATGCTCATGAGCTTCTTCAATTCCATCACTAATGGGGTGTGAAACCACAGGAGTTTTCTCTGAATTTAACAGTGCACTGATTTTGACAATGTCAATAATTTGCTCAGTTAATTCTGGAATCTTCTGTTCTTCCAAAATTATAATTTTCTTTGGTATTTCATGAAGCTTTTGCTCATCATTCATGGCAGTACTGCCTGCATTTTTGTATTTTACATAAAGCACCATTTGAAGAACTCCTAAGATGAAGCCTAGAACATTTGGAATCTGTATTGACATAGTAAAACAAATACTGTTAGAACAATCAACGAACTTGGCGGGTAGGAGACCTGCTTTAATGGGGAGAAGAAATGCCAAACCCCGTCCAGAAACGGGTGGTTTTCACTAAAAATTGGAATGCTGGTACGAACTTACAGCAATGTTATAGTCTTTGAGTAGCAGACCATAAAAGAACCACATAACAGCACTAATTGTGAGAAAAAATGATAAAAGAAATGGCATATATTCTACGCTCTTGGTTCGTATAACTTGTCTCTGCAAAGAAATTAAAATTTAAAATAAATTTATTCAAAGCAGGAAATAGGAATGAAATATGAATAAAATGAAAAAAAAAATAAAATTAATAAAAGAAAAAAAATGCTTACCACAATGCCTAATGGGGCAACAAATACACACAATGAAAATACTAGACAAATCCATCCAACAACCTGAGCACGTTTCGATGCTTTCACCACAAGTTGATTTGCAAGAACGACTAGACCGAACCCACAAACTAGCAGCAGAACAATTAACTTTATAGTTTGTATCTACATTTCAAAAGAAATCCTAGTAACTAATTCAAATATATAAACTTGTGATCTTCTTAACAGTTGAAATATTTTGACGAGAAATTAAGTTCACTAAAACGCCTTACCTTCTTTGGCGCATAGAAAAGGTAGAAGCAAATGTATGCAGTTTCAATGAAACATCCAACAGAATTTATAGTAATAAGTAGTGTGGTATTATCGGACTTGAGAAATGCATAGTACATCCACGACATGGAACTGAAGAGAGCAACAACGTAAGGAACTGATTGAAATCCTTCACTTGACTTTTTCTTATGAATTTGATAGAAAGTTGGCCTGCAATAATTTAAAAATTAAAATCGAAAATATTTTAAATCAACAACTCAAGTAAAATACTGAAACTTACAATGGGGAAAGATAGAACATGAAAGATATGATATTACCTGCAAAAGCACAGGAAAAATCATTATAATGCATAGAAGTAAATACATTTTATGTAAGTAACGATCAGTGTAAATTTGAATCGGTAATTTGTGATGTAAGTTATGTTATCACAAGATGATACTAAACGATCCAATAAATAAAATTTCAATACCATTAAGTGAAGTTGCATGTAGTTCATTTTTTGTCATACATGTTAATGATTGAATGTGATGATTGCCAAATCCATTAACAATAAATTTATTAGTCCATTTCCTACTACACAAAGTGGCTAGTGTCGCTAATGTCATTTCAAGGAGGATTTTGACCAACACAATTCTGTGAAGAATTGAAGAATACAATTAATTTGTATGCTTTTTCATAGGAAAATGTAAATAAGTAATTAAGGTTAAAGAATTGTAGATATTACCAAGTATGCCAAATGCAAGAGCCCAATCTCCAGAGAAAACTGCCATCTCCCTTGGAAAATTTGGCACTTTAAGAAATATTATTAGCTATCTGAACTCTGATGGACAATAAGGGACGATTCTGGTACCTATTTATATACAAAGAATATGGGACACTTGTGCATTAATATAAAGATAGTCAAGATTTTTCAAAATGAAAAATAACAAATAATTTCTAATAAAGAGAGGAAGCCCTTTATCAGATATTATATTAATTGAAGGAAAAATTGCACCATTGATCCTCCAGTCTGCAAAGGATAGATTCCGAGGCAAAGATTTTGGGTTGAAGTCTTTCCACCATCAAATTAATGAAATTGTGCATGTGTAAGTCTTTGACGAGAAAAAAATGAATTCAGACCATACGTGAGGGGATTGATGAAAATTATATTTAAATGATATGAATGTTATCATTTCTAATGACTTAAATTTTTAGATCAAATGATTCAACACAGTCTAATGTTTTCGTAGCAAGTTGGTCACAAATTTTTTTCTAAATGTCAAGTTGGTCATTATAACTTCTCATTATAGTTGAAGAACGAGTCTAGCTTGAATAACAAAAACCATCCAAATTAGTGTTAAATAGTCTTGTGTTCCTCTCGTGTAGAATTTTATGAAACTAGATTTTGCTTTACAATCTATGCCCGTGCTAAGAAACTAGAAGTTAAGCATAATTTGTGAGGGTCAGCCAATAATTTAAAGAGGTTTTAAATACTATTCGTTGTTGGAGACTGATTCTTCTACTAATTTTCGTAGACCACCAGTGCAGTTTACAAAATATTATATTTCATGCATGAGGGGGCAGAATTGTCATTTCACATGTAATAGTTCAATCCTCGTGGCTTTAAAGTTTACAACTCATTCACAAGTTTCCGGAGTGCGTACGATTTTTAAATATTGTGTGCGAATCTATCCCACAATGATCTCCAATTCAGCAATAAACCAATCCATAAAGTGCAAGTTAGCAATTATTTCATGGTTGTGCTACATATACATCATATGTTTACATAATGATTTATATACACATGATGTGATGAAATATGATTATGTCGAAATTTCTTCAATTGAAAAAAAAAAA